CTATCATTCAAAATTGAAGGGGAAATCAGGAGCTTCACAGACAAAGAAAAGCTAAGGGAGTTTATCACTACCAAGCCAGCAATTCAAGAAATGCTAAAGGGACTGTTGTAAAAAGAAGAAATAAATAAATAAATAAGAGAGAAGGAACACAGGCAATAATAATAATAATAATAATAATAATAATAATAATAATAATAAAATGGCTACAAACAAGTACCTATCAATAATAACTATAAACATAAATGGACTAAATGCTCTAATCAAAATATATTGAGTAGATGAATGGATAAGAAAACATTACCCATATATTTGCTGACTACAAGAGACCTACCTCAGAACAAGTGACTCACACAGACTGAAAGTAAAGGGATGAAAAAATATCTTTCAGGCAAATGGAAATGAAAAAACATTTCCATTTAGGGAAGCAATACTTATATATGACAAAAATAGACTTCAAAGTGAAGGCCATAACAAGAGATAATGAAGGCCACTTCATAATACTAAAGGGATCGACACAACAAGAGGATATAACTCTGTAAACATATATGCACCCAATGCAACAGCACCCAAATACATAAAAAAAAAACTTCTGGAAGATATCAAGGGAGAGATTTACAGCAATATGACCATAATAGGGAACTTTAATACCCCACTGACATCACTGGATAAATCATTTGGACAAAAAACTCATCAAAGAAACAGCTATCCTAAATGATTCACTAGGTAACATGGACTTAATTGACATCTACAGAACATTTCATCCCAAGCTACAGAATATACATTCTTTTCAAGTGCACATGGGGCATTTTCAAAAATAGACAACATATTGCGGCACAGGCAAAGTCTATCCAAACTCAAGAAGATTGAAATCATATCAAGCATCTTCTCAGATCACAATGGCATAATATTAGAAATAAACTACACTAAAAACAATAAAAACATTCAAAAACTTGGAGACTGAATAGTGTGCTATTAAACAATTATTGGGTTACCAAAGAGATCAAAGAAGAAATTAAAAACATCCTGGAAATGAATAACAATGATAACACAACAATCCAAAACTATGGGACACAGTGAAAGCAGTCCTGAGAGGGAAGTTCATAGCATTACAGGCCTATCTCAGAAAAAAAGAAAAAAAAAATAGTAATAAATTACCTAATGCTACACCTTAAAGAATTAGAAAGAGAACAACAAGAAAATCCCAGAGTGAGCAGAAGGAAGGAGATAATCAAGATCAGAGCAGAAATAAATGACATAGAGACCAACGAAACAATACAAAAGATCAATGAAACCAAGAGCTGGTTCTTTGAAAGGATAAACAAGATTAATGAACCTCTAGCCAGGCTCACCAAGAAGCAAAGAGAGAGGACCCAAATAAAAAAATCAGAAATGAAACAGGCAAAATAACAACAGACCCTACGGAAATACAAAGGATTGTAAAAAAAAAAAATACGATGAACAACTCTATCCCAACAAACTTAACAACCTAGAGGAAATGGACATATTCCTAGAAAAATATGACCTTCCAAAACTCAATCAAGAAGAATAAAAAAATCTCAACATGCTGATAACTAAGAAGGAAATTGAGGCAGTCATCAAAAACCTTCCAGCAAACAAAGCCTGGGGCAACCCTAGCTGGTTTTGCTCAGTGGGTAGAGCATTGGCCTGAGGACCAAATGGTCCGGGTTCAATTCCAGTCAAGGACACATGCCCTAGTGTGGGCTCCATTCCCAGTAGGGGGTGTGCAGGAGACAGCCAATCAATGATTCTATCATCATTGGTGTTTCTATCTCTTCCTTCCACTCTGAAATAAAAAATAAAAAAATAAAAATAAGGCCAGGCCAGACTGTTTTACAGGGGAATTATACAAATATTCAAAGAAGAACTAAAACCTACCCTTCTCAGACTATTGCAAAAAATTGAAGAGGAAGGAACACTTCCAAGCTCATTCTATGAAGCCAGCATTACCCTCATACCAAAACCAGATAAAGACACTACAAAGAAAGAGAATTACAGGCCAATATCCCTCATGAACATAGATGCTAAAATCCTCAACAAAATCCCAGCAAATTGGATCCAGCATTACATTAGAAAGATCATACACCCTGGCCAAGTGGGATTTATTCTGGGGATGCAAGGATGGAACAATATCCACAAATCAAAAATGTGATACATCACATAAACAAATTGAAAGACAAAAATCACATAATCATATCAATTGATGCATAAAAGGCATTTGACAAAATCCAACATCCTTTCCTGATAAAAACTCTCAGCAAAGTGGGAATAGAAGGATCATACCTCAACATAATAAAAGCCTTATATGACAAACCTACAGCAAACATCATACTCAATGGGCAAAAACTAAAACCATTTCCCCTCAAAACAGGAACGAGATAGGGATGCCCACTTTCACTACTCTCATTTGACATAGTACTGGAAGTGCTAGCCATAGCAATCAGACAAGAAGAAGAAATAAAAGACATCCAAATTGGAAAAGAAGACATAAAATTGTCATTACTCTTAGATGACATGATATTGTACATAGAAAACCCTAAAGACTCCATCATAAAACTACTAGACTTACTAACTGAATTTAGCAATGTAGCAGGATACAAAATTAACACCCAGAAATCTATGTTTCTTTTTTTAACACCATTAGTGAATTCACAGAAAGAGAAACTAAAAAAAAAATCTCATTTACCACTGCAACACAAAAATTAAGGTACCTAGGAATACATTAACCAAGGAGGTAAAGGACCTGTACTCAGAAAATTACAGGACACTGAAAGAGATAGAGGAATACATAAACAAATGGAAGGATATTCTGTGTACATGGATTAGTAGAATCAACATCATTGAAATGTCCATCCTACCCAAAGCAATCTATAGATTCACTTCAATCCCCATTAAAATACCAATGGCATACTTCAGAGATCCAGAATAACCTCTCCAAAAATTCATCTGGATCAATAAAAGACCCAGAATAGCTGCAGCAATCTTGAGAAAGAAGAACAAAGTTGGAGGGATCATAATACCAGATATCAAGCTATACTACAAAACCACTGTTCTCAAAACTGTCTGGTACTGGCATAAGAACAGACATACAGACCAATGGAACAGAACAGAGAACACAAGAATAGACCCAAGTCATTATGCTCAATTAATATTTAACAAAGGAGGCAAGAGCATACAATGGAGTCAAGACAGTTTCTTCAATAAATGCTCTTGGGAAAATTGGATGGATACATGTAAAAAAATAAAACTAGACCACCAAATTATACCATACACCAAAATAAACTCAGAATGGATAAAGGAATTAAATGTAAAATGGGAAACCATAAAAATCTTAGAAAAAGCCATTGGCAGCAAAATAGAAGACATTTGTTGTAGCAATATATTTATCGATACAGCTCCTAGGGCAATGGAAACTAAGGGGAAAATAAACAAATGGGACTACATCAAAATAAAAAAGTTTCTGCATAGTAAAAGAAACCACCAACAAAACAACAAGAAAGCCCACTGCATGGGAGAACATACTTATCGATGTTATCACTGATAAGGGTTTAATCTCCAAATTTATAGG